CAGAAGGCTTTTCATTATGTGGTCACTCAAAGACCCACAAGAATTCAGCTCTACCTTCTTTGATATGTGGCTTCCTGCCTTGCCCTGATAGTGTCCATCCCAGCATAGAGCAGTAGGAAAAAAGCATGTAAGAAATTGTATGGGAGATTCATGTGACAGGCAGGAAATTGACAGTTGTTAGTTCTGGTCACATCTCATTGGAAGGAATTTGACCTTAGGCAACCTGCAACCAAAGGAAGGCTGGGAGATATAATGCCACTGTGAAGGCGTATATTCAGTTATTATTCCATTAATGCATAAGCAAAAGACAATGGATTTTAGGAAACCTAGTAGACTCTGCCATGGTATAATTGTCCTATATCTAACTACTCTACTAAAGTCTAATTAACTGTAGCAGTTTTGATTCTTAACCAGAGACACTTGGGATTTCTAAGATATTATATCATTAATAAGAAAGGATTGTTTTATTGCTTCTTTTTCAATACTTTTTCCACAAAGTTTTCCATTTCCTTGTTGTATTTCCTAAAAACTCTAAGACAAGTTGAATAATAATAGCAAGAACCTCTAACAGATGTTCTTCAATTTTTATAGTTTCTGTATTTTAACAATTAGAATTATATTTTGTATTTTTTTAGAATATTGTCTTTGTTACTACAAGGGGTTTCCTTCAATTCTTTTTTTACTTAGAGCTTACGTTAGAATAAGACTGCCAGAGTTTGTCAAATATCTTTTCAGAATTTAATTATAAAATCATAATGTTTGTCTCTTTCAATGTATTAATCTAATAGATTATGTTGACAGGTGTCCTGAGTTTTTAAAACCTGAAATAGATAAATTCTATTTATTCTATTCTTTGGTAATTTTAGTGATACACTGCTCATGTATCAAAGATATATGCTACTATTGAAATATACATTATTTTTAAAGATTTTCTGCATCTGTAGTTCCAAATGAGATTAGAGCACAATTTTCTTTTTCTTTCTTCCCCGCCCCCCTGCTTTTTTTTTCCTACTGGTTTTTTTTCTGGCTGGGTAGGGAGTACTATCTTAACACATCTGAAGTTTCATATATGCCATGTTAATAATATGGATTAGGGAAATTTATGTTTCTGTGACAATAATAGTATACATAATATTGGAATTATGTGTTCTTTAAAGTAAAATACAGCTTAGTTGTAAAATCAGAACATCCTTATTCATTTTAGAAGCATATAGACTTTTATTTACTTTTTGAATATTTCCTTGATTAACTACCTTATGTTTTTCTCTTTTTCTTGAACAAATTCTGGGAGTTTTTGCTTTACTGAAATATAATGTATTTCATCTAGGTTTTCATATTTGTTACAATAATGTTACATGTAGCATTCTTTTTATATAGTTTTTTGTGCCTGTGATTATGTATCATTTCTCATGTCATATTTTTTTCTCTCTTTCCCTTAATAAGTCTTATAGGAAGTTCATCTATTTTGCAATTATTTTCAAAGACTTTCTTTAAGAAAATCTTTTTATCCTTTCTCTAACTTAAATCAATTTGATTAGTTTTAGCTTTTATGTTTCTTTTATTACATTCTTGTGTTCTTTAATAATGAAAACATTTATAAACTTTTATCTGGATACAGCTTTTGCAACATTCTATAGGTTTTAATATTATATATTATATAGCTTCTGGCTCTATTTCAGTTTTCATTCCTTTGGACCAAGTATTATATAAAAGTATCTTAAGGTGATTAAGACTTATGAGTCACTTTTCAAAATTGGATTTCTAATTGTATTGGCTCAATATTGAAAAAAAATACTCTGTAAAATCTCTACTTGGAAATATTTGTTAAAGTATTATTTAAGATCAAATAATTTTTAAATGTTTCATAGACATTAAATGTTTATCACTTAATAGGCATGAGATGTTTTATATATCTTTTAATCAAATTTTATTGCAGTATTCAATTTCCCCACGTCCTTGCTTATTTTTCATTTACAAACAACATTGTTTAAGACTTTTCTTCTATTCCAAGTTATAATTACCCTAGCAAAAATTGCTCTACTGTCTACTTAAAAGTTTTCAGATGACCCTCCAAATTACCTTATTTTCTCCTTTCAAATACTTGGGATTTTTAACCTGAAAAAAAGGGGGAAATAAAATTGCAGAATAATATCAGATTAGTGGTCTCTGTAGGAATGTCTTAGTGTGTTTTTTTTCTGCAGAAATTTTTTTTTCCAGGTTACATTAAAAAAAACTTTTTTAAACTTTATTATGTCCATTATGTCCCTCAGTCAATGACATAGTACACAGAAAATTTATACCTAGATTCATACATGTCCAGTCATGTTGTGTATTCTTAGGACCGATTACTTC